ACATGCGGCATGGCCATGGATCCAACCCTAGAAGACCTTGCGTATGTCAAAAGTACCTACACACCCGTTTGGGCGCCGTATATATGGGTCATTTGAAGTTTACAGGACATTTGGGGATATAAGGGTCATTTGAAAGCCAAGAAGACGAATCAACAGTTTTCGCTTCAATCGGGTCGAATAGTTAAATTCGCCACTGATTTCACAAATGTCACAGAAGAACGCAGAATGTCTCGGACAGGTCGGATAAGCACTGGTTTGTCCAGAGCTTTGTTGGGACCTCCCGAAACCACAGAGATGGGCAGAAAGCGACGATATATTCATACAGGCACTTAAAACATTAAAAAAAACGATTGAGCCACACATGCTTGAACTAATAATAAAAAATATTGCGAGCCGCGGTGTTTTAATTCGGGTTTGTTTGAGCCGAACGCAACACTTTCGAGCCATATAGGGCTGTAGGGTCTTATTGTTTGAGCCAAACAACACTCGAGCCACACTTAGGGTTTTTAGGGTTTGGAGCCAGGACACTTAGGGCTTTTAGGGTTTGTAAAGTTTGGGGTTTCGGGTTTGGCGGGTGGTTTATAAGGTGCTGTCTCTCGTTCGTCGCCCTCAAAACCCTGAACTCGGGAGTCGAGAAAGCTGAAAAACAACAGTAAACCATTCAATAAGCCCGAAGTTTTTGCCCTCAAGCCCGACAGCAGCGTGGGAAGGAAAGCCCTTGAATCCCAAAATTAACCTTACACACTCGGCGAAAGCCGACCTTCGACGTTTTTTTCACTGGGGCAACAAACAGTCCAGCATTGCCTGCTTCACCTGCACAGAGTTTCGTTGAAGCAGCGATTTCTCGGCCGTCCGGTGGCTTACTTTGCGCAGGATGCGCACACAGTGCTTCACATGATCCTCGTCCATATAACAATGGTCCCACCCCGGCGATCTTCTGCTCGGCCGCTTGTCTCTCACCATGTGGACCAAATGATGAAATTTTGGTCGCATCTTGAAGTAATATTCACCTCTGTCGCATGCAATTGTGGCCAGTGCACAATAGGAGCTCACGAAAACATCGCCCACCACACGTATGTGTCGTTGCTGTTCCACCGTTAAAAACACACCGGAAGTCAGGGCAGAGCGGCCCAACTCGTCGGCAGCCCAAACCATGCCAAGTAAGCCTCGGTATGGCCCCTGCAAAGGGGTCGCTTCAAGTTTCATCCGCACATAGGACATAAATGTCGAGGCGTCCGCCGCCTTACAATGCAGCTCCGGGCAGCCACCACTCCAGTGAACAGTGGCTTTTCGAAGTCGCCTCGTTGCCACAGTTTTTTCATGCGCTTTCGCATAGATCTTCAGCTCTTTGAAGAACTGATTGAGCCTCTTTGGAATCGTAGGTCCTCCATAAATCGATTTGTCCCTGCACATCAATTTGATGGCACTTCCAAGAACATCTCTTGCCACCCCCAGCGACCACGTATGCATGAAGTCCACTTGCACCATTTGAAGATCAAATCCGTGGATAAATGCAAAAGCCGGACGATCCACCCAGGGCTCTTGCTCGGAATATTCGGTCGCTGTCCAGGGCGCATCAACATTGCAATCGGTGTAGAGCATGTCCGGGTTGGATTTCGATGCCAAACATTTGAAGCACACCTATAGATGGGAAATCAAATGACAAGTTTTGAGCAACACGACCCACACCTTGATTTCCACAAGAAATATTCGATCCAATTCTAGTCCAAACCAAACCCTTGGAACATCGAAAAAACTCCTAATAAGTTGTGAAGACCTGGGCCTTAAGTCTAGGGATGCAGTTTCGGTCGGGCCTTCTCACTGCTCGCATTGCGAACGAAGTTGAAGCACTGGGTCAAATACTTCAGATCTCCACGAAAAGCTACTGGAACAAAATAATAGATTTCCTTAGATGAAACAAGATGAGGTGGGGTCATAGGGTTCTTGCTTTGTACCGGTCCTACATACTCACGAACTCCGGATACTAATAAAAGAAAGCTATACATACACCCGCCCTAAACCTAGTAAAAGGACCGAACACAAACTCTATACTTCATATAGGGATTTCTCATATAGGGTTTAGGGCTTCGGGTCTGCCGGGCAAGAATCTCCAGAGCTGTTTTGAATACCTTTGTGCATCACTTCGTTGATGTCCTTTACCACTGCAGCGTTCAGGTGCTGCAGGGTCTCATTGGTTTTGCCATTCACAAAGTATCTGCTGGCCAGAAGGGAGTAGATCATGTAACGGGATGCTTTGCTGTTCGTACGGAACACCGACAAGTCAGGAGTCCTTAGACACATATAGAGCCTCGATTATAACTAGGCTACAACGGGCCCTTCAATTCAACTTGTGATTTAAGCTTTGCAGCTACAGCGGCCACGAAACCACCATCCACGAGCTGTAGTTGAGGGTCCCCTCGTCACCCCAAAGGACTATGGGGATTGTGTATTTCCACATATTCGGTTTGTCCTTCAGCCAATGATCAGGGAAGTCAGGCAGCAATTGGGCCCAGTAAGCTTCCAGATCCGAGCTCGATGGGTACATGGAATCCACAAAGCCATCCTCGACCAGTGCCCTGGCCTGAAGTGGCCGTGGGCTTCTGAACGGGCTTGGAGGTTTGATTTTGTAGGCTTATACCAGGGGTTTGCAATCAAGGGTAGGGTCGTTGCAGACAGACAAACAGTCAAAAGCTTTATAGAGGTCGCGATGATTGGCTATTTTGGGAACGAATATTCATGCACAAACATGCTGGGTATATCAGGAGCCGAGACACCATAGAGGATGGGAGCACAACAGGGCATTGTTCAATGCAGGGTTCCTCATCCTCACCACGTATGACTGGTGCAGCCACATAAGTCACGTCGGTATTGAAGGCATACCCAGCTTTGCGAACTCTTCTAATATATTCATGCTCCCGCAGCGCACGAGTGTCGTACCCGTGCAATAACTCACTGTCATAGACGTCACCTAGCTGGGTTGTTATTTGTTATCGATTCGTAAGGTGTATATAAAATAATAATTGCATACACAAATATCAAAACCCTAAACCCTAAACCCTAAACCCGAAATAACCCTAAACTCTAAACAAGGCTCGAGCAGCCAGGGTTAATGGTTTAGGGTTTAAGGGTTTAGGGTTTAGGGGTTTAGGGTTTAGGGTTTAGGGTTTTAGGGCTTTAGGGTTTGGGTTTGGGGTTTATGGCCGCCCTAAACCCTAAACCCAAAATAACCCTAAACCCTAAACCCCTAAACCCTAAACCCTAAACCCCCAAACCCTAAGTCTTCGACAACTAATTTCAGCGCAAGGTCCGAGGGAGCATGTCAATGATAAACTTGCCTCACCAGCAGTTGTCGCTTTGACTAGCCTCGGTTAGGCTCTTCGGACTTAAGGCAGCTAGAACAAATAAGCCGAGCAACAAATCATCGAGGCGATCAGCTGTGCTTCTGGATCCCGAGCTGGAGGAAGGCTTGCCTGCGGTGGGCCAGGGGATTGCGGTCTTGGGGCTTTAGCTTTAGGGTTTCGGGGTTTAGGGGTTTAGGGTGTGGGGTTTAGGGGTTTAGGGGTTTAGGGTGTGGGGGTCTTGAGTGAAGGTCTGGCTCAGTCCAGATGCACTTTGGGAGCAATGTTCTGCACACATACCAACATTATCTTTTTTCAAGCACGGCCACCTTGATCGAATCCCCACGTGTGATCACACTCATAAGCGGACCAGTGTCAGTCACCAGCATCCCCAGCTAGCAAGTATTTTGGATTTGCATTGCAAGGCTGGACGACTGAGCCTAAGGCCCAAACCCCCACCCGCTGCAACTCTTTAATGCAGCAGGTTGAAATCTTGAAGCTGCCGAAAGCCCAGATTGTTTGACAAAGCTCACAATACCTTGAAATGATCACTAGGGCCATCAGCCAGCACCACACAGCCAGCAGGAGTATTGCTTGGGGCATCACTCCAGCAGTAAACTCTTGCTTGAAGCAGTTGGTACCTAAATGTTTCGTACTACCCCAAAACCAACACTCAATGCTTGGCCGACTCACGGTCGCTTCCGCAACTCCTTCAAAAGGCCTGAAGCTTGGCCTTTGGTCAGCTTCAGCTGCTCGATCTGCCGGGCAGCGGACGGTGGTATCAGGCCGGGTTAAGATTGTTAAGTGGGTTCTGAGATTTAAGGATCGGGTTTCAAATATGGTATGGGTATCTACAGGGCTAGGATGCAACTACATTGTAGGGGTTGTTCGTGGGGTTTCACAGCACAGGGCAGCATCTACATCGCAACCTAAGTCGAAGCAATACATACATGGTTTTGGCGGCAACAGCTATATCTCAACCTATTTCGAAGCAAGACCCCAGCCATCCTGTCCCCAGCCTCCTCGTAGATTTGCTCGCATAGAGCATCGAACTTGTCGCCGGACTTTGTCATACCCAGCCTGAGACAAGTATTTTAGTATGATGTGTTAAGGTCATCGGGCTTTAGGGAGTTCAAGGATTTCGGAATGTTGATTTATGTGGGTGGGTCAACAGTTTGGTGTTCTCGGCAAGGGTTTAAATATATTTACGAGCTTTAGGGTTTTCGGCTTCAGGGCTACAATTAAGATTTGGATGTTTCGGGTTCAAGGGTCGGGTTTGTTCAATCTAAATAAGACAAGTGGCTTCAAGCTGAAAGCCTTAATCTTCGCATCGTGGGCTTTGAGGTCTTTCAGCAGGTCTGGGCTGTTTGCTTGCGACATATCGATGATCAAAGTGCTCAGTTGCCCGATCTCCTTCTTCACGGCGGCACCTAGGCTGATATTGCTACACAGAAAAACTTGCATGCGCACATTCATACATAGACCGGTCATTGTAACCAAGTAACTGAACTTGGCGTGTTTCTCTTCATCGGTCCTGAAACTCTCGTTGATGAGACTTTTTCTCCCCACAACGGAGCTGGCCGTGCTTTTTGCCGGCCCCCTTGTAGACGCAGCTCGACGGCGATTGCCATTGCCCGATGGGCGAACTGCCAGATAAGGGCTTTTTTGGGTTTAGTCTTGTATAGTGAGTATATAGTGTTTACACACAGAGGATACGATTTAAAAAAAAACAGATGTCGGGCCTGAAGCAGCAGCTTCGAGGTCACGGTTGTACGTGTCGAAGGCACGAAGAATGTCTCCACTGAGCGGGTTGCTGGCGTGTCCTTGGCCTGTTCGAGGCCTTTGAAGAAGGCCCGGCATGTTCGGCCCATTTCCCATCATCTGGTCCAGCATCCCCGTCGTTGGGCGAAAGCGTGCACCCATACTGGCACCCACCCTGAGTTGAAACATCATTTGCTATTGCACGAAACACATATAGAGCTCACGTGAAAAACAGGAAGCCAAGTAGCCGTGTCTCGGAAGTTTCCGTCCTTGTCCTTTTCACCACCACCCAAAACTTCGTCTCCTCCAACACCCCCGGACAGTCCGGATCTTCCTCTCCAGTTTGTCGGGATATGATGGATTGTATCTTGCGCCTCGGCTCTTTTGCTGGTACGTGTGCCCAGCTTGCAATAAGACTCCAATGGAAAAAGAATCAACATTGTTGTCTATAGATTAGACAAGGCACTCGCTGAAGTTGTAAGGGGCTTTGCCCATGTCTTTTACACTGACCTGCTCCCAAACCCTCTCTCCCTTGAGAGACTCCTGTCGGTGCATCTCAAGAGTCGCCTCCATGGCATCAATGTTGCCATTCTTGCTCACCCACTCTCGTAGGGCTTTGTTGCGATCCTATCAGAATGAAAAGCAAACATATGCTACTTCGGAAACGAAATACGATATAATGAGCCGAGCATCGGTGAGGGAGCCATCCATCAACTGGGACAGGTTGGGGGAGCTCGCGAACTTTCCGGCTTGATGGGCTCGTGCCTGGGATCGTAGGTTTTAGGGTTTAGGGTTTAGGGTTTAGGATAGGCTTGAGGATTTAAGCTTCCGTTTTTTGTTCAACTCACCCATATTTTTTTATATATACACATACATATAGACATATTATATATATAGATAGATATATATATATATATATATATATATAAATATGGGGCTGATACAAAATAAGAGGGCTGTGTTGTAAGGTCCAAAGGGGAATTAGGGCATAGGCTTTGGTTTCAAAGTTTTCCACATACTATGTGTAATCGGGGATGCCAGGGGTTCAAGTCGACAGGCAAGTTGCCATCTTCATGTACTCCCTCTTATGTGTCGTAGTGTTGATCACGACTTCTGCTTCGGCGGGGGCATCAGCAGCAGCACCGACTGTCGCAGCATTGGGTTTCATTTTTGGGGCAACTGCAACAGCTTCTGGGCCAACAGCACCTGTGCCAAACTGATGCTGTTTGACCTTAGCAGCCTTAGCATTTGTTGCTTCTGCATTTGCAACGGCAGGCAGTGCTGCGGTGGCACGGGCTGGCGTGGCAACAGGCTTGGATTTCACTGAAGCTTCCTTCTCCTTCAGCAAGAGGTCCACTCGCTGCAACATGTTCGAGAGCTCGTGCTCGTATCCCAGCTGGCTAGCAGATGGGCCCAGCCTAAGGGTTTCGAATGTGAGTATTTGCGAACACATATGTGCCAGTAATTGCAGTGCTTATTTTGATACCCAATAATCCAAGTGTCGTTTTCAGCATCTCTGACAAGTCTGTCAGGGTATCCTCGCGGCTGAGCGACTGGGCGTGGCCGGCGATGCGCAATCGCTCCTGCAGCCCGTCCTGGCCTGCCTTGAAAGTAGCACAAGACCTGGGATCGAAGGGTCGGTAGCATCATTCTGGGCTTGGATCACAAAGGACTTAGGCTCTGTTTTGGGCATCCGGTCGGGACTTACAGTGTAGGCTTTGAGGTTCAAGGGGGTTTTAGTTGTTCTTGATCGAATGAGGGTTTTGGGTTTGGCTTAGGGTTCAGGGTTTAGGGGTTTGTTGTGGGTTGTT